TCTCTATGGCAAAAACTGAAAATTGTCTCCCTCCTAACTCAGCCAGTATGAGTCTGGCAGTTGGGAAATTTTTATAGGATACTCGGCAAAGACAGGGGAACAAAACGTACCATTCAAATTTTTTTTAATGAACACTTTCATTTTTTTTTATCGATTGTAGCAGAAAGCTACGTTTCTCTCATGTATTTCTTTAAATATATAATTTTAGCCTCTCAAGTTCTTTTAGAACGAGAAAACAATACACACTTTGTTTAACACTGGATACAAAGAGAGAATAGTAGAAAAGCGAAGAGGAAGCTAATTTAAAACTAATTATTAACGTGATTTGTAAACGCTGTTCTGCGGCACCGATTTTTTTGCTAGTGTTTAGGATTTTATTGATGTGAAAACTGGGTTTTTCGGATTGTTTTCACCTAATATTAAAAAATTCACAACCCACTAAAAATACAACAGAACGTGTTCAAAAGTTCAGAATGTAGAGTAGTTATGTTATTCTATATTGTATTTATGAGAAATCGAGAAAAATAAGTTTACAAACATTGATAGTTTCTACGAAAGGATTTCTGAAAAACGTTTCGACTTTACCGATGATATAATCACATTTACCAGACTAATTCAGCCATTCCCTAAAGTTTTCAATCGTAGGTAAATACAATGTATATTAGTTAATTCCCTCAAACCAGTATTATATTTTATTAATAATCAAGAAACATACAATACTTTAAATAAGAAAAATTGAAATAAATCTAACAAATTTTTATTGTGGAATGTACAAATAGTTTTACGTTTTAACAACTTTATTTAGAGCAAATGCTTTCAACAAATCGTGCAGATTGCCCAAATTATCTTGAGTTGGCTGTTGAATTGATGTGACCGGCTGATTCATGGTGATGCCAATGTTCACGATAGGTGATTGATAAGTTTGTAAATTTCGATGGCATCGGTATATTAGGCAAAGAGCAAGGAAAACGACTACTATCAGAAGAATAATAAGTACAACAGTAAGGATAATAACCATTGGTCTTGTTGTACTTATATTCCGTTGTTAAACTGTTCCCGGTTTTTTCTGTTTCTTTGGTGTTTTTATCTTGAATTTTCATCTGCTCTTCTAAGGTAAGTATCAGATTTTTACCAGGCGCAAATGAATACACTTTCGGGAGGCTAATATTTAATGGACGAATTGATTCGACTACTGGAACAATATATTCGTTGACTGTTTTTAAGATACTGAACGGTCTGCGCAAAAGCATACGCGATGTAAATGTGGCTTTTGATTCTCGAGCACTAGGTACTGAGTGTTTAAGCCGCCCGTAAGCAATTTCTAGAAATTCATTCTGTTCTGTCATTCCGACAAAATTCAAGTTAAGATCGTTGCGCTCGATGCGACGTATAGAACTCTTCATTCTTTCATAAATATGCTCTGCATGACTCTTTAAATTATAGCACGTTTGCTCCTCGGCAAAAGAATCCAGCGGGGACACGTGTTTAACGATAGTTTCCATATTAGTCCGCATGGTCTCCATATTTTCTTGAGCTTTGCCGAAGAAGCGTGCTAATTAAATTGTACTGTTTGTATTAGTAAATACCGAAACTTCTAAACTATGTAACTGCTTATTGGTATCAGAAGCAGATCTGTGAATTTCTGACACTCGACTACTCAACTGTGCGCCTTTTATCGTGTTATAAGCGGTTACACTTCCCATGAAAAGGAGATCGAGAGCACCAGCAACAACACCAACAATCAATGGTATGAAACGTTTACCAAGATGATGAGTTTTTGTAGCTACTTTTTCAGCAGAAAACCGAGTGTTATTAGTTGAATTTAAGAAATCGGAAATAGAAGAATGGCTAGAAATTTCTTCTTGCTGAAGTTACTACGAAGCAACTCTTGATAGTCTACACACAAACTCAATTTTTCTACTTTGTCCATGGGTAAAATTGAGTATACATATTGAGTAACTGGTACAGTCACTACCAGTCCACAAACACCATCTACTTCATAGTAATACCCTACTCGACTTAAAATGACTCCCCTTTCCTCATGGATAACCAGATCTTGACCGTTAAGTAATTGATTGAAGACACTATCTCTTCGTTGAGGAGTTGATAAATGATTAATTGGAAGAGGATCTATGTTTGCGAAGGGATTCAATAGTACCGTAATGAGATGAAATATTGATTGACGACGGACGATCAGCAACATGATGATTGTGTTGTCTAAATATCTGTATACTATTAGAAAGCTCTAACGACAGAAAATTAAAAAAAATTACTTACTAATTTGGAAAGAAAAGTGAAAAAGCTTTATGTCACAAAAGCTAAGATGAATTTGTAAAACAAGAAGAACACAAGTGAATGGAATGATGAAACTAACTCGTATCGCAGTGTTTATATACAATTTTGAATGGGAGAAAAAAACATTTATAATAGGATTATTGAGTGTATCAAATTGTACTAGAAACTGTGACGAAATTAAGTTTAAAGGATTATCACCACAGGAGGCTATTATTGCAATGTGTGGCGCAGTTATTCATTATCCCTTGTGAACAATTAGTTCTTTTGCTTCTGCTGTTTCCACTAAGAATTAAACAATGACAGCACCGCTAATTGGAAAGAGAACAGCAGCGATTCACACATAAACACAAATGAATGTATTGCGGTGGAAGAAATAGACTTTAATTAAGCAACTTTTGTTTGTTACTATCTTCGTGTGTCATCTGGTGCCTTTGAGGAATATACGAACATCTTGAGAAGAAGGACGAAGATAATTTTTGAAACAAATTAATTGGTTGTTTTAAAAAGTATATAAGAGTTCTATTTTAGTGGAAAATAAAGCATAAAGTGACCTCTTTCATATCAAAAATCTTATACCATGCTAAAAAATAATGCGGCGATAGCCAAAGTACAGAGAATGATGCATATTGACGATGAAATATGCGCTTCACCCCAAACAATTGTGTCAAAAACCGTTGAAGCTCAATCTCTCAACCATTATTTGAATGAGCAGTTGGAAATAAAGTTTTGAATATAAAGTATAATACTGCTATGAAAATCATAATAAAATTCTTCTGAATTTATTTAAACACTCGAGCTTTCGATCACAACTTAGATCATTTTCAAGAGTAAATGACAAAAGAAAAAGAAGCGGTATATATACAAAAATACATGCAAAGCGAAAGAAGAATTTTGGAAAAATCTAAAATACCACACAATAACGAAAGAAGAAGAGAGGAAAAACCATAATAACACATTAGAATGCGCGTTCTAATGTGTGCGTTAATGATATGAAATTCAAATTGAATATTTATTGATATGTAGAACTATCTTTAGTCCTTTTGTTAAAGGACGGTTTGGCGTGAAAAGACAGTTCTATGAACATTAGAACGCGCACGCTAATGTGTTATTATGGTTTTTTCCTCTCTTCTTCTTTCGTTATTGTTTGGTATTTTAGATTTTTCCAAAATTCTTCTTTCGCTTTGCATGTATTTTTGTATATATACCGCTTCTTTTTCTTTTGTCATTTACTCTTGAAAATGATCTAAGTTGTGATCGAAAGCTCGAGTGTTTAAATAAATTCAGAAGAATTTTATTATGATTTTTATAGCAGTATTATACTTTATATTTAAAACTCTAAACTATTCTCAACATCTACAACAACAACAGCGTGATCGTTCACGTTTCTTCTACCATCTACGTCAAAAGAGAAAACAGTGTCGTCTTCAACATGATCCGATGCCTATGCATCATCAACAAGAACATGTAAAAGAAATAAAAAGAAATAATCAAGAACCAAAAGAAAAATATTTTTTCCATATAAAAATGATTCATTAAAAAATGAAAATAAATTAATTACAGCAATCGTCGGATCATCAATCGCTCGCAACATATCAGTCAAAAATATAGAGACTGGAACAGATGAAGTACGTCTTCGTTTTAAATCAGGAAGCGATTGTGTTGATGCTTTAGCTTGGACAAATGAAGATCAAACATTCATGCAGAATGTCAATCGGCTCATATTTATTATTGGCACTAATAACACTCATCGAGTAGGAGCTGACGAAACTGTTCGATGTATTTCACAAACTGTTGAATCAGTTCGTTATTTATATCCAGATCTAAATATAATCTGGCAACTACTTCAAAAAAGAAGTAGCAAGACTTGGCTTTTACCCGAAGGTCAACCGGTGTTAAATGAAATTAGTCGTTGTAATATACAACTAACTCAATTAGCAGCTGAAATGAAATTTAATACAATTCAACCAGATATTCCAATTGAATATATGTGTGATGGTCTCCATCCATCAGCACACGGTGTCAGAATGATGGAAACGAATATTCGCCATTATTTAAAAGAGAATAAAACGATATATTCTTCGTCGTTTTCACATGTTCCTTCTCTTTCTCATATTGCTGTTTCCAGTATTTTGGGATTATTTGGGAGATGGGTTGAGCTATGGAAATTCTGATTATACCAATGAATAGAGCTTTTCAAGTTGTAGTTGGAACAAGTATAGGGACTTTGGAACAGTTGCCAGACGAATATGGGCAACTCTTACTCTAATCTGGTGCTAACTTCACCTACATCATATTACACTTAAATCAACTTTGACAGTTTCTAGCTTAGATCACAATTCTGCCCATACAAACAAGAATTTTGATGTAGGCAGAGACAGTGGTAGCGCGAAGTTTTGGTAGGAAGGTCCGAAAATCGGAGACGTTCACGAGAAATTTCTCAAAAGCATGAGTGGGGTCAACCCCCATACAGCCTGGTCGCGCCGTCACTCGGTGCAGAGCCGCCAAGAACTTTTCAGTTTACAGAAAATCAAAAAGGAATTTCTACTTTCTTGAAAATTATGTATGGAAAATCAAGGAGGATTTTCTAGACTGTTGGAAATTCGATTTTCTATAAACTGAAAAATCCACGGGGAATTCCTATATGTACTCTTTGAAAATCGCCGAGCACTTTCCGAAAATAATTTCCAACCTTACAGTGTATGACTCTTGTTCTATCTGATAATCAGAGAGACGAGTTGAAACTAAATGTTTTGATGTTTTTGTTAATGGTATTTCAGTGCATCACGATGCTTGTTGTTATATATTTGCGATGGAATATCGTAGAGACTTTATACTTCTTTTTGTTGGAAATGAGCGCCCTTTTCATCAGTGTCGATCGCGGTCGAAAAAAGAAGTTCTACTCCTGAGCGGAAGCCGCCAGAAACTATATACTTACATGAAAAAGAAGGGTTATTGAGTCGTCTACTAAATGATATTATTTGGACTAGAACACGGCTGCTCTATGAGATATTAGGACAAAAATTCTTTTCGCGTTGTAAACGCCAAGTTGAGCTTTTAATCAAGCGCTCTTCTGTTCAGTCTCTTGTACTCAAGGCCAACTTTTTTAATATTATAGAAAAACCTTTTGTATAATGAGCAACTTCATATATATGATGCTCCAAAACATCGAAGGTGAGTAATGCAAAAGATCAAACAAATATATTCGGATACCAAAATTGTAACCGAAGTTACAGAACAGTTTCCCCACGTCTTTTGTTCTAAGATTTTTGTGGCTTTCAGAAAATATTTCGATCAAACACTGGTATATATTTTTGTACTAGACACTTTGCTCTATCTAACAGAAAAAGGATAAAGTCTGTACGATATTCCATCACAACGCTATATTAAACACAAAATTGATGCAGAACTTTTGCCTCACCTATTAATGACATAGTATCAGCCTTTAGCGAAGGACGGTGTCGCCATTTTGTTTGCACTATTTTAAAAGTACATTTATTTTTTTCTGTTTCTATAGGTATCTTCTTTCTGCAAGTTCGACTACATATCAATGAGTCCTCAATACAAGGAAATGACTTTTAGAGAAAACGGCAGCAGCTAATAGACGGAAATCTGCACACATTTTTTTCATGCTAAGAAAACTTTTTTTAAGAATACAGGAAAGATAGGCCAAATATATGTTCCCTTGACGAATAAAGAAAGCTTAAGATAGTGCACAAAATACTTTTCTTAGGATAGAGAGCAAAACACAAAAAGGAGCACCACGTGAGAAGGAGCAATGACAAAAAGTTTATGTACATTATTTTATATTTATATTATCTTGGAAGTAATCAGTCAGTAACTTAATGATACGATGGGTGTGGCGATGATGCTCGGGGACTTTTCACGGTTCTGTGATCACATACACATAACTACATGCACAGGAATATCAAAAAAATGTTTTCTTACTTTTGGCTTTGTGGAGAATAAAGAAACGTGCACTTACACTGTCACTGCTTAGCAGGATAGAACGATGACGCATGTAGATGATAACACTCTCTTTCTCGACGGTACAACACAACTCGATTCAGACAAATCCAAAGGCTATTTCTATAACCGATGGTGGCATCAAGGATATACTCATCAACGTGCTATATGTCGACTGTTCGAGGCACATTGGTTTCATGCACTGACTATTGTACTTGTTATCGTCGATTGTGTTCTAGTTGTCGGTGTGGTTATGCTTGAATTTATCAAACTTAAAGCTCAATGTATAGAAAATTCGCACAAGATGAAAATTCACAGAATAATACATCAACATGAACACGATATTGAGACTGCGATGAAAGTATGCGACTATGCATCTATTGCCATTCTTACATTCTTCATGTTTGAATTATTGGTTAAAATGATTGTATTCGGTCGAGCTTTTTGGAATATTTATCGAAAAAAAATGGAATATTTTGATGCTATCATTGTTATTGTATCATTTGCATTCGATATTTACTTTTTATTAAATGAAGAACGTGAAGATATGTTTAGTAATCGAGCCATATTGATCATTTCACTTCGCCTATGGCGCATTATTCGAATCATTAATAGTAAGTCGTAAGGAAAACAATCATTCCAGGTATCATTCTCAATTTTCTATTCGACAGGTGTAGCTCAGTTTGTACGTGACGAAGAACAATCGTCGAAGCATCGCTTAAGCCAACAATATCTTGCTGTCGTACAACAACTCATCGATCTACTCAAATACAAAACTGACTACATCGAAGAACAGAATGAAGATGCCAGTTTACACTTTCACCAAATGGATAGTCAGTGTCAAGCATATCTTGATCTATTCAACAAAACAGATCGTCAATTTACTTCATTCTATGCTGTCAAACAGTTTGCTGAACAAATGAAAACGCTTGATTATTCCATGCGGAACCGGTCGACTCAAGAGTAGTTGGTGTTATGTTTATGTCCTGCGACCGTTGAATTCATCTGTAGATTATAT